GGGGGCCGCCCGGGGCGCCGCTCCGCATGCTCTGCGCCCGCCCGCCGCTGGTTCGCTCGCTCCTCGCTCGCTCTCCCTCCCGTCTAGCTCGCTCGCAGCTTTTTTAATAATATTATTCTAAGCGGGCATGAGGCGCGGCGGCCCGCGCCCTGATTGGTCGGGTTATCTGACCCGGGGCCTGCCCGCGCCAGACAATAGTCGAGTCAAATTATTCGCCATGGAGACGCTGTCAGTCACCGGTAACCCGAGCCCCGGCGGCCGGGGCTGCTCCCCCCTGGCCGGCTCCGCTGACAGATCGTCCGGGCTCTGCACATGGCGAAGGGCGGCCGAGACAGGAGCCCCAGGCACTCCCAGAGCCTGGGAGGCGGAGAGGGGCCGGGCTGGGGCCCGAGACGGCGGTGATTGACGGGGCGGACGCCCAAAGAGCAAAGGAGGAGGAGGAGGGCCCCGAAGGAGGGGGGCTGAGTGGGCCCCCCCCCCGAAGAAAAGAGGAGGACCGAGGTGGGACGGGAAGGGAGAGGATAGAAAGGAAAGCGGAGGACCGTTTGAGGGGGTGCCTTGCAGGAAGGAGAAAGAGGGGGAACAGAAGGAGCCTCCAAGGGGAAGAAGTGTGGGACGCTTTATTTATTTATTTATTTTTCAAAACTAAGGGCGACGCAACAGCCTTGCCCAGGCCTTGCCAGGTGCTCCAGCCCCGGCTGGGTCACCGCGTCGCTCGCTCGGAAGGTCGCAGCTGTCAGGCAGAGATACTGTAACCCAGGAGGAGGTCAGTGGGATGGAGAGTTTGGATTCTCTTAGGGGGGGGGCCTCTGGAAGACTTGGCTTTTCCAGCTGACAACGCCCCACCCCCATGCTAGAAACCCGGGACCCGAGCTGTCCTTCAGGGAAAGGGGGAGGAGGTGGGGAGAGAAGTCAGAGATTTGGCAGTGGCCGCAGCTGGACGCCCGAGAATCAACTTCCCGGAGGATCCCGCCTTTCCTTCCTTTCGAGCCGGCTGGCTGCCCCGCGGCCCGTACCGCCCCCACTCGGCGCGTTTCACTCCTCGCCAGGCTGGGACTCAGACTTTAACCCCACGGGGCCCAGGGCCCGAGAAACGCCCGGCAGTCCTGCGTGGCCTCTGCGGAAGTTGACTCTTGCAAGGGACCAAGGCGCAAAACCCAGGAGCCGCAGAGACCCGCAGACTGCCCTCGGGGAGCCCAGGGCAGCGGGTGTAGGATGAGTGTAGCGCTTCCCGGGTGGCTAGTGCGCAGGAGAGAGAGAGAGAGGAGGCAGGATCTACCAACTTCCAGCCTCTCCACTTCTGGGCTAGGGTTCCTGGACGCTTCAGCCAGAGAATCCAGCGCAGAGTTCCGGCATGAGGGGCCTTAGAGAAGGAGGGTAGGAGGTGCCCCCTGCCTTTTGATTCTTTGTCAGAACACCTCAAGAAAACACGTGGTGCTGCTGCTTGGCAAAAAAAAAGCACAAGAAGGACAAGGGAGTCCTAGGGGCTATGCACGGGGGAGGGGGTGTCCCCGCAGTTTCTAGGGTTCAAAAAGCCCGGGGCTTATTTTCTTGCCCAACTTGTCCTTTGCATATCCGTTCCCCCCTCCCCCTTTTCCCACCCAGGGTTTGGGCTGCAAGCTCCTAAGTCTCAAAACTCAAGGCAGCACAGATGACAAGGTCTGTTTTCAGAGTAACTTTTAGACCTCATTTTGATGACCACCCCTGTAGGCGTTCTAAGAGGACAGAGAGACGGGTCCCGAAAGTGGGGGCGTCTGGACCCTCAGCTTTGATTTGAGTTTTTTGCCCGTGGTTTGTGGGGGAGGTACACATTTGTTTAAGGATCCAGCATGATTTCCTGAACTCCAGCTCTGCTCTAGAAGGCCAAACGTCTTTTGGTGGGGGACTGGAGCGCTCAGAGATGCCCTGAGACTTTACTTTCCGGAGGCCTGTCCCCTTGAACCGAGGACACAGGACTGCCTAAGTAGGTGTTAAAGCCAGCACTAGGAGAATACGCTTCCTGCAGAAATCCAGATGTCGTCTTTGTAGTCTTCTTCTGTGGGTTGGGGCAGATCTTAGTGTCGCCATGGCATGGGGCTTGCCCCTGAGGGAGCTGTAAGGATCCTGGGAGACCTGGAAAATATAATACCCAGACTACAGCGAGGCTCAGAGCATATCTTGCTGCTTAGGGTGACCTACCTTTTCCAAGGGTCTCCCCTCTGCCACATAGTTAAAAGGATTCAGCTGATCCCAGCTCTGGTCACGGCCAACACAGGGCTTGTTTGTTTTGTTGTTGTTGTTTGGTAAAGGAAGGCCAGAGAGGGAAAGAAGCACCCTGGCTGGGTGCTGGACCAGTTGCTTCCTGGTGTAAGACTTTGGGTATCGGTATCACCATTGTTAGCTGGGGCCTCAGTGAGCCCTTCTGGTGCTGGCCTACCAGTGTTGCCAAGGAGGATGCTCTCTGCAACTCCAGGCGTGGCTTGACCACAAACCTGCCCCCTCTGGGGCCTTTGAAGCTTTAAGTTGATGGAACTTCCCCCAGGAGTGGGCCCAGCCAAGGCTCACGGTAGGCAGATTTTCTGTGTCCTTCTGGAGATCCACCATTCTAGGCCTCCTCGCGTTGCCTCCTTTGGGGTCCCCATCTCACAGCTCAACCACTAACCCTGCCTGGAGCCTCCAGGCAGTACTCAGGAGTAGGCAGAGCAGAACCCACGAGGGACCTGCCATCCAGGGTGCCCGATGAAATGTCATTACCTTGCAAGCACAGAAAAAACTGTAACCCCATTACGCAGTGCGTATCTTCCTCACAAACCAGTTCTAGCAGGTCTGGGCCAGAGAACATCTCCGCAGCTGGGGGCCCGGCAGGATGCCTGCCCTAAAAAGGTTAGAATCTCAGCCAGGGTCTCCTCGAACTCAGTCGCCTGTCTGGCCCCTCCTTTACAGGATTTGCTACAAGACAGAACAGAGGTTGTCTGGGTGGGGATTTGATAGACACCAGCGTGACCCTCAGAGAAGCCAGGCAAGCTCAGCCCTCAGTCCCAGCACATAGAGCAGCTGCTTGAGAGGCCTGTTAGTGCCAAGCCTTGGGTCTCTACTTGACCTCAGCTTTCAGCCTCATGCGTTTTCCTCCACCCCGTCGTACACTCAAAAAAAAAAAAAATGCTTGCATTAAAAGTTTGTTTCGGCGAGCACAGGCAGGGTACTTTATGGCCAGCATGGAGGAAACTTTTGTAAACGTTTGGGAATTTGCGATTCATTGAAATGTCTCCTTGCATTCCCAGCTGCGCTGGAAAATTCCCTGGGAGCTTCGGACTGTCTGGAAGGCAGTTTTGGGTGCGCCCCATGAGCTCACGCCGACAGGATTTCTTTGCTCCAGACTTTTGGACAGGGATGGTCTAAGGCCTTTGCGCCTGGAAATTGGCCGGAAACTTGCAGAATGGAGCACCCGAAGGCCACCACTGACCGGCGCCCATTGACCAATGGACATCTGGCACACCGCACTCACACGCAGCCCTATGGGTGTCCCGAGGGCTTTCTCGGCTTTGGTTGGGGACTTTCGAAGTGAATCGGATGATCCAGCGGGAAGAAAGTACTCGCTGACTATTTCCCAGGTCAGTGGACCAGAAGACCTTCGTTCTGGGCAAGCCCTTGTGACCTCCCCCCCCCCCAAAAAAAAAAGAAGAAAGGGGAGTGGATTCTCCATGCGAAATCAGAGCTTGTGTCTGCTTAATCTTTATTTTTCCTACCCTTTATAAAGGCCGCAGAAATCTCCCGGACTGACTCCGGTGCTGCTGTTGGCTGATGATACAAACGCCTGATCGGCGGCGACGCTCTGTGAGGCTCAGAGATGGGCATGTCCGCTCTTCTGCGGGTCCGGGTGCGGCGCTGGACAGTGACTCTTGTTCTCTCTCGGCCACCAACTCTCCCCAACCTTCTTGGGCCTGAGCTGTGCGTTTCGTTGAAAGCGGGCCAGCAGCTCGAGCGGGTTTGCATGGCGGCCCTCTGCGCCTCCTCACCTGCCTCTGCCAGGTCTGCTGTGTCTCCACAAGTGATGCTGGCATTTGCAAACTCTGACAGCCCGCGGTTTCTGTGTTGCTCGACGTGTAGGACCGCTGTCAGATGTTGGGTTACTGCTCGCCCCGATTAGCTGAACGGTTCTCAGGCACCCCAAGCGCAGGCAAGGTTGCAAGGCCCTGGGCTCCGGCGGCGGGCTGCACTCTGGAAAGGGCATAAACCGTGTTGTCGCCTGCGCCGCACGTGGCTCTGACTGTAACAGGCCCCAAGGGTCAGACAGCATGGATCCCAGGGGCTCACTCCGCCTCTCTGACCTGCGAACCTTTAGCCTGCGACCCACGCTGCAGTCTGGAGGAGGCCTGGCTTTTGAAAACGGGTTGGGGGTTGCAGCCCCACCCGGGATCTTGTGTAAACGAAAAGACAGGGCGCCAGGGCTCGCGGCGCGTTTGGAGGCCGGCAAGGCAGCCGATCCGCCTGGGAGGTGCCCGCAGCGGGCGGTGTTTGAGACGACTTCCAAGGCCTGGCCGCCTTCCTGCGACGCCTGGCCCGGTCCCCGCCTGCGGTCACCGCTTGGGCCTGGTGCGCCTTTTGATGGCGCCTCACCTTGTGCCGGGCCCCTCCGAGTGGAGGTGGGGGCCGCTGGTGCAGGAGGCCCGGCATCCGGCGAGGGGCGGCCGGTTCATAGAATTTTCAGGAAGCTGCTGAAATCGGCCCCGGGGTGCTTTTTCCGCGGGACAGTGGAGTGACTGTGCATCCCTAAGCGATGTGTTGCTGACACTAGGTGCTAGCGCCGCCCCGCGTCATGTCACCAAGTTCAGGTCTAAGGGTGGATTTACTCAGTTTCCCCGAGGCCTCTAGAAGGGAGAAGGAGCCCTGACAGATCGCGATCTCCTCCCAGGCCCACACAGCAGCACAGGACTACCTAACTACTGGCAGAGAAAGCAAGAGAAATGATACATAGAACTGGTCGGTAAGGAGTCTCACACACACACACACACACACACACACACACACACACACACACACACACACACGCTTTTTCCCTGCTATGTTCCCTCTGTAGGGTCTGGGAGCCCAGGACGCGTTTAAATGGATGTCTGAATGACCACAGGGGTTTGACTGACAGCCCCAACTGGGAAGTCATCAGGCCACTCAATGACTTCCTTCCTCCTCTTCAATCCCATCACGTTCTTTAAAATTCCCCTCTTGTTTATAGGGGGGAAATCCTACAGAGCTGGGTGCCTTTCTTCAACTTGAAGAATTGGGAGTTGGAGTCTTCTTATGGTCCAAGAAGCCACAGACTGGATACTGGATGAGTGCTTTTAAAAATCCAGTCATGGATCGCCTACAGTATCACCAAGTTCCCGTGGGTCACAGGAAAGTTTTCTGAGTTACTCTAATTTTTCTGGGGCGGCTGTCATGAGCTGCATTTCCTCAGTTAGTTTACAAAAATTCTCCATAGACAAAGGGTAGATCAAATTCCCTGGAAGAAGTAAGGGTTTTTTCTTTTATTATTTTTCTTCATCTTTCCATTACCTGTGAGAAACTCTATCTGGAGGTAGGAATTCCTTGCTTGGTACTTCTCTCTTATGTGGTATCTATTTTTTATTACCCGTAATTACAACACATCAGCCCCACTCATCAGTGACAACCCCTCCCTCAAGGTAGTGACTGCTGTTGGCAATCTCGATTTGGGTTGCACCTGGATGAGCATCTCCTCCCAGCTGGTATCAGAGGCAGCCACTCAGGGCTTCCCACGAAGCTCTGCACTTTGAAGGGGACCTGGAAAAAGCCAACATTGTTCTTACCTTGGAAATCCAATATCTTGTTGTCATTTTGAATTAAGACTAAAATCCCCAGGCCGATTCTTATAGAATGATGTGCACTAATTGATTTATGTGGAGCCCTGTAAGAACACTTTAATGAAGTAGTAGAAACAAGATATGGGGAGAACAGATAGGACAGGGACACCCCGGTGGATGAGGCTGCTGCAGGAGGAACTGGTCAAAACCAGCCTTACATAAATGTCTTTTCTTTAGTTAGCCTGGTGGCACTCTGGCTTGTGGGGACCGGCATGGCTGGCCCGTTTGCCGTGAACTGCCTCCGTTCCAACCGTCCTAATAGAATTGTACTGTCAGCATGTGCTCACGCATGGAGAATGCACGGGGTGTGGAGCAGGGGGTGTGGGCTTTGGCATCAGGCGGCTATGGGCCCTTGACTCACAGGCACCTCTTGAGTAAACTACTTAAGCTTGGAGCTTTACTTTGCTCATTTGTAAGATGGGTTTAAGAGCCCCACATCAAGCATTCAACGGTTGTTTGTTCAATTGAATGCAATTACGTGGGAGATTATAGATTAAGCTCAGCAAACCTCTGGTTCATAGTAGGCGCTTTCTAATTGAGGCTCTCATCACTAGGGCTGTGATTGTGAAAGTGTGTTCAAAACTGCTTATAATTAGTGTTACTTAGTCCCTGAATAGCCTTAGTTTCAGTGGCCAATGACCACTGAACTTTGAAAATATTACATAGAGATTTTTATTTTTTTAAAGATTAGTTTTTAAAAAAATGTATGGGTGTGTGTTTTACCTGCATATATGTTAAGGACACCGTGGAGTGTTGTAGTGCCTCTGGAGACCAGAAGAGGGAGTCAGATCCTCTGAAACTGGAGTTACGGATGGTTGTAAATCACCTTATGGGTGCTGGGAATTGGACACCCATCCTCAACAAGAGGGTGCTTTTAACCATGGAGCCAGCTTTCTAGCCCCACATTAGATATTTTTAGAAATAAAAAATTCCCCAGTTTTATGGTGTATACCCTTCTGCACATTGCGATGAAATCTGAAGCTATCCTGTTATGACCTACCTGGGATGAATCACCTCTTTGTTCAAAATAGCCACCGTTTTTACTGTACAGCCCCAAGTCACCCAGTAACTATTTTTACCCAGCTCTTCTGTTGTGATATGGTAGAGTTTTTGAAGCACGAGAGTAATGATGACAGCCATTTGTCCAAACATATTCTTATTCTTGTTTCCTGTTGTTATAAGTTATCATTGTTAACTCTTATTGTGCATAAATAAATTAAACTTTATCACAATGTACATGCATAGGAGAAACAGTAGGCAGAGAGGGTTCAGTGCTAGCTGTGATTTCAGGCACCACACAGGCATGTGGTGCCCCTTGCAGACAGAGTGGGGACTATCATATTTCAGAAAACTTCCTGATGGAGTGTCAAAAAGATTCATTTCCAAACAAATACCAAACCTGTATGATATACCCAGGAATCTAGGAATGCTGAGATGCTTGACTGGGTTTTTTTAGGGGCGGTCGGCAGAAGAAGGGGTGTCTTAGGAGACGACCTGTGTTTCTGAGGTGCGCCCTCTACCGCAACCTTGGAAAGAGTGTGGGCTTTGGCGAGAGCTGATTGGGTTAGATCTTCGCCTGATGCTCGGGAGTAGTGTAACCAAGAACAAGCAACTTAATCTTCTTCGGGAGTCAGTTTCCCTGCCTAGGGGAGGAGAGTGTTAAAAAAGCACCTCACTCCCGGGAGGGGGGGGGGTGGGAAGAGGAAGTGAGCTAATGTATTCAAAACGGCTGGATTCTGAGACAAATGGGAGACTCAGCTGCCAAAATGGTTTGCATTATCTGATGGTGTTTCCAGGATTTAGGTCTCATTAGAACAGTTCTCAGAAAGCAAAAGACAGCTGCATGTAAGCGTGACATTGCATATTCCTATGGGCTTGAGACAATGTTGCTCCTTCTGTCCGGCTGGTTCTCAGGACTGAGCGCAAAGCAGATTACCCTAAAAGTTCTATAGTCATGTGTGGGTGATGATGGAGACCAAAATAACTTATGTGCACCCTCCTTTTCTTTTCTAACTCTTTCCTCATCAGCCCTCTGTGCCCTCAAATAAAGCCAGAAATATCCATTAAAATGAAGAAAAGGAGCTCCCATTAATAGACTGTTTGGTGTGTGTATTATAACACGCTGACATTCAGTGGATATGATAATCCTGTCAAGTGGGTATAGTTAGTATTTATTAGTATTTACAGATGAAACAATAGGCCCAGAGAGGTCAATCAACTTGACCAAGGGTCACGTGGATAGTACACAGAAAGTCATCTTTGACACCACAACTTGCACGGTAAACCTTTGCTACCCTTGGCTCTTCTGTAACAAACGTAGTAAGAACAGGAGAGCCTGCTGACAGCCTTCCAGGTGCCGGGCCTCATTTCACATGCCCTCAGCTACCTCGGTGAGGTGGGCACCACTGGGAAGCTGGGGGTCAATCACAGAGCGACCCCAGGGCCTCACTCTAAAACCCCAACTGCCGGGCTGCAGAGAACTGCCCAGGTAAGTTTTCCCATCATGCTCCTTTGCATTCCCAGGGTCCAGAGGCTTCTTGGTGTTTGAGAATTATTTAGCAAAAGTCATCCCTTGCCCTCCTTGAGTCTCAGTCCCCAGTCCCTGAGATTTCCTGAGTTTTGTGCCCTCCGGTCCCATTTGCCCCTGCTAGGCTGGAGGCAGTACCCTCAGCTCCGCATTTGCTGAACTCTGGCTTTGCCCATGGCCTTGTTGTGTTCTTATCCGTTGTGCTGGGGTGAGTCTGGGACATGGGGTCTTCGTCAAGATATTTTGGAGCACAGTTTGCAAAAATCTACTCCGATTACAGAAGAAACCAAAGAATAAACATATGAGAACTGGGGGCGGGGAGGCAGTAGCCTAGGTTTAAGTAGAGGGAGCACCCCTGTCTTTAGGAGAGGTGGTACACAGACTTGGGGAACAGTTGAAAGTCAAGGCAACACCTTTTCCCCACACTGGTATTGGAATGGCCTCCTTTCTCTGTGTCCTCTGGGCACCTTTGTCCTCTGAAGCGTCATTTTCCCAGTGTCCACTGCTTTTGACCATTCTTTTGGTTAGAACACTCTAAAACCTCTGCTTCTGCTCCAGATCTTGAGAGAGTGGGGGTGGGAGGTAGGGGGTGGGGAGAGAGGCAGAGAGGCAGAGAGACAGACAGAAACAGAGACAGAAGCTGAGAACACCTAAGGGCTCATTTTGAGTTAGGTGATTCCCACTGCGGTGATGCTCAAATGGACAGGAGGACGGGAGGGTCCATTTGACCTACTGCCTAGTCCACAGAGACTGTGAGGCCCAGAGTGGAGAGATTGTAGGGTTGCTGTTCTATTCCAGTTGATAGTGTGCACAAGAGGCATTGATTAAATATTTGTTTCTCTTCCTCCCGATTCCCTAGTGTCCAGTCCATCCATTACAAGGTGTCCAGGGCCATCTAGCGCAAATAAGACTTAGTATGTTTCATCCAACCGTACCCAGCAGCCTCGGGATGACCCACAGCCTCTAGCATGGCTTATGAGGCCCTTTCCCATTGAACTTTGCATGTGTGTCAGGAGACTCTTCCCATGCTGTCCACTTCTTACTCAAGGCTACTGCCACCCAGCACGGTTTACAGCTCAGGTCCTCTCCCCACTCCTTATTGTAAACGTCCTTCATCACCTACTTATGCTGCTGTAGGAGATCCACAATTCCCTGCTTCCTTGACCTTGAGTTTGCCTGTGTGACTGGCTTTGGCCAGTGAAGTGTGGGCAGATGAACAGAAGCTAAAGAGTGTTGGAAGCTGGGCTGGGGCAGAACTCAGTACACCTCTCTCTCGGGACTCAGGCTACTGCGGAACTGGATTAGTTATTGTCAAAGTGGGTTGTTGCAAAGGAGGCTGGCCTTCAGGTTTCCTCTTTGCTTACTCATTCATCCCCTGAACCATCAAGCCTAAACAAAGCGTCTTTTCTTCACAAATTTCCCAGCTTCGAGTATTTTTGTTACAGCCCTGGAAAATGGATTAAGACATAGCAATACATTTGGTAGCCCGGAAAGATATCGAAGGGTATATGGATGGACCCCCACACACGTACACAGAACTAAACAGGAACATCTGTATATACACATATAAGTAACAAGTATACAGGCATCTATGTGTCCCTACCTGTATGCATGTGGCTACACATTAAGGCATCATGCTTGTAGTTAAGAGGAATGATAGGTACACACATGAGTACATATGTTCACATAAAGAAGTTGCTTCTGACGCCACGACAGTGGCAAGTTCACCGTCAATGCACTCCAAGCCTCTGGGTCCCTTGAGTCAGTCCTTCAGAAGGGGCTTCAGTCATGATTTATAGCCAGGGCTTTGGGGGAGGGAGCCTCAAGTGGTGAGAGGGGAAGCTGAAGGAAGAAAATGTAAATAAATTCAGTTACTGAATAGCATGCATTCCTAATTGGAAAAATTTGTGCCCTCGATGTGTTATAATCTTTGTGGCTACTGCGGCACGTGGCTGAGGCTGAGGGTGTTTATGAGGAATCCGTAGCTTTTTTTTCTAGCCTGCGTCTCATCTGAGACGTGACGGAAGGTCACGTGTCACCCACATCAGTCCTTCAACCTAATCTCGTTATGTTCTGGTCACTGAAACAAACACACTCCCCAGCCCCAACACAAACCCAAGGACATGTAAGGTGCCTAGATGCTAAGTTCAGGTCAGTACAAATCGAAGTCACGGGCAAGGAAACAGTCAATGCCATGATAAAAAAAAAAAAATTCTCTTTTAGAAAGGGTGTCTTGTAGACCAAGCTTTCTTTGGAATTCTTATCCTTTTTAGGATTATAGGCATGTGCTACCATGTTTGATGTACGCAGTGTTAGGAACCGAACCTAAAACTTCATGCATGCTTGACCAATGCCCTATCCACAGAGCTTCAGCTCCACCCCAACAATGACGATCTTCCCATGCAGAAGAAAACAGGACAGCATTTGCTATTTACCATCATCCTGAAGCCCGACATGGGGAGGGGAAACGTTGCCTGTGGGCACGGAAGGCTTTTTGGAGAAAGGTGGCCTTGATGAGGACTTTGGATAACAGGAGAATTGGGGGAGAGGAACTGAGAGGGAATAGTATGGAGCGCTATAGCGTGAATACAGGCCTCTGAAGTGACTGGGAGAGCAAGAGGAAGCGCTGCAGTTTCCTCTCTCTGAGTTGGGAGACCCTTTGGTCTTCAGCCTGGGGCAGTGAACCCTAAAGCCCCTGATTTAAGACCCAAAGCACCCTGAGATCTGGTTCCGAGGCTGTCTTGTTCATTATGGGGTTATTGGGCCTGGCCTGGTGCCTGACATGTGACCTCCCAGCTCTTGTTCCTCCCCAAAACTTTTCCCAGCAGCTCCAGCCATTTTCCAAATGTGCCACGGCGCTGTAACGTTAGAATTCCCCGGCGGTTTCCGATTGCAGCCAGCCCAACTCCTAAGCAAGATCTCAGGGGCTAGTGTAACCCCTGCCCGGCTCTCACACCACACTGGGGGCCTCTCTGCTCCCTTCCCGCCCTTCCAACACACAATGCCCTTCCCACTTCTAACTTAGACCTTAGCTGTCCCCTCATCTCCACACCATAATCCTAATTTCTTCCGAGCCCTTACCAGCGTGCGAGGCCATCACGCCTGCCCGATTGCTCGTTACCAGCCTACCTCCTAGAGGATAAGTTATGTACCTGATCGATTCCCGCCTAGATCTCTGACATAAGAAGCGATGCCTGGCGTGTAGTAGGTCCTCGGTAAATGCTCCTTGACAAGAAGAGCGAATGACAAGGCTGCAGGTCACAGATGCTGCGGTTCCGTTTTCTAAAGGGGCCAGTGAAAAGCAGACTTCTTTTTTTAAATTAAAGATTGATTTATTTATTATATATACAGTGTTCTGCCTGCATGCCAGATGAGGGCGCCAGAGCTCATTACAGATGGTTGTGAGCCACCATGTGGGTGCTGGGAATTGAACTCAGGACCTCTGGAAGAACAGCCAGTGTTAACCTCTTAACCTCTGAGCCATCTCTCCATCCCCTTCAGACTTCTAATATGGTAAAACAAGCAGAGTAGAGTAAATCCAGTTCTTTTGCAGGGAGAGGCGTGGGGTTCCCCAGACAGGCTGAGCACCCTGTGTGGTTCTTAGATGGGGTCAGAGATCCTGCCCAGCCTGTGAAGAAAGGGGTCACCTCACAAATATGCTTACATGTACATGCATGAAAATGCATCCCTGGCTCAGGGGCGTGGATCTTGCCTCCTGGGGGCTCTCAGCATTTTTTGTATCTACAACAGGGCTTCCATCTCTCTTCATAGCGTAAGGGTGGATGGAAGACTCTTTGCTCAGCCATCCCAGCCTCCTGCCCCCCGGGGTCTCCCCTCTCATCAGGGGCAGACATCATCCTCGGCTGTTAGTCAATGCTGTTGACTTCCTCAGGCATCAAATCTGCTTTCCTCTTCTCTAACTCTTCGTAATTTACTGGACTGAATAATTCCTTCCTCCTTGCCTCTTGTCTATCCTTAATAAATGTAGAAACGCTCTAATTGTGGTGGTTTGAATGAGAAACATCTCCCCCACAGACTCAGCTATCTGAACACTCAGTGTGTGTTGGGGGAGGTTTAGGAAGTGCAGTCTTGCTAGAGGAAGTACATTACTGGGGGCAGGATGTGGGGGTGTGTAGCCTCACCCCACTTCTGGTCTGCTCTCTCTGCTTTGTGCTTGCATCTGAAGATGGGAGCTCTCAGCTTCCTGATCCTGGCCACCGTGCCTGCTGCCTGCTGCTATGCCTCTCAATCTTAACGAACTCTTTTTTAATTTTTAATTAATTAATTAACTAATTAATTAATTAATTTTAGTTTTTCGAGACAGGATTTTTTCTGTAGAACCCTGGCTATCCTGGAACTAGCTCTTTAGACCAGGCTGGCCTGGAACTCACAGAGATCTATCTGCCTTTGCCTCCCAAATGCTGGGATTAAAGGCGTGCACCACCACCACCACCACCACCACCACCACCACCACCACCACCCGGCCCATGATGGGCTCTTAACTGTCTGGAACTGCAAGCACAAGAAAACTCTTCTTTCTGTAAGTTGCTTCCAGTCCTGGTGTT